TTCAGCCATATTGTAAAACATTTGCTGCATTTGTATGGTTCATAGTTTATCTGCCAAACAAAATAAAAATAAAAACACTAAATCACCACAATACACCAAAACACTTTTACTTTTACACTGGACGCGCGTTTCGCTAACCATGTTAGCATCATCAGCAGATGATTATAAACTAAGCAGATGATGCTAACATGGTTAGCGAAACGCGCGTCCAGTGTAAAAGTAAAAGTGTTTTGGTGTATTGTGGTGATTTAGTGTTTTTATTTTGCTGTGTAACACCAAAGGTTCCAACCCTCAACTGTAATTATCTGCCAAAGTATTTATTACTATAAATAGGTATATATATATTGTATTTATTAACTGTATATTATGTAGGTATATTTCATGTAAACTATATCATTTTTAAAATACAAACCAAAAATACGAGGAATAATTATGTTTTCCATGTATTCTACAACATATTTATTAATCTGTAGTATCTAACTAGCGTGACGTCACAAATCTCGTTTCGAGGCTGTTCTATTAGAGACGGCATTGCGTCAGCATGGCCGCAAGTTGCTAACCTAATAAAATTAACACTAGAAAAGCCCGCGGGAACTGTCAAATTCAAAGTTATTCGTTTTACAGACTATAACTAGGGTTTCCATAAACGAAAAACTCTGTAATACCGTCTCCAATACTAGCTCGAAAATCATAGTTGTCGTCAAACCGTGCAGTAAAAAACTGCTAAACTCCCTCGAAGGACCCAGTTAGACCCTGCAAACGGTCCTCTCCTAACAGGATTATCCTGCGACGGCTTGCCCGTTCGTCCGGACAATGCAGTTACGACTCCGGACTTGCCTCCCTAGTCCTTGCTGTCCCTTTTTCCGTTTGATTCACGCTTCATCGCTCCTGCTACGGGCACTGGAGTCTCCGCTGTTCCCCCTGCGATGTGTTCCTACGCCTGCTTAATCCAATCCCGAATTACCATTCGGGAATTTGCAGTGTTTGTCATCGGTAATTGCAGGAGTCGAGGGGGGGATAGTTGCGGGGAATTTCTCGATTTTTTTACGAAAAAAAGTATTAATGAGTTATTAAATAAATAAATAAATGCCTTTATTGTCAAAAAATTTTTCAATTTGTGGACAAAGGTAAACTAACAAACAAAGTAAAAAAAAACAAGGTACACAAACAAACAAACAGAAGATAATACAAAACATTATACAAATAATATTGTCAGTCTTATTGTTAAAATAAACATATATAAATGTTTACAATGTCAAAGAACAAAAAAAATTAAAATAATATTCAAAAATATTTAGCCAGTTTATAGCAAAATATCAATGACCTCTAAATAAATTAATTTCGATGTCATTAGTAAATATAGCAATAGCAAACATTAAACCAGTGGTTTCAAGATCAAATTCGATTTTCAATTCAAATATAATTCATTTACGGCGTAGAAAGCCTTGTCTAGTAAATAAGAGTTCAATGCTTTGCGAAATGAAAAAAATGATGTTATGGATTTGATTTCAAATGGCAGGTGATTGTGCATTTTTTTCGAGTTGTATAATATTGAACTTTTAACTAACTCTGAGCGTGGGGTAGGTAGATAAAGATCTTGCTCCGCGTTCCTGAGTGGATAAGTGTGAGATGGCCTTTCTTGAGAAGCTGATACATGTTTACGTATTAGGCAAACGGATTCAAATATAAATAAGGAAGGAAGAGTCAATATTTTTAATTCTCTAAAAAAGCCCCGGCAATGAGTTCTGCTGTTTAGTCCCAGTGAATATCGAACAGCTCTCTTCTGGAGCTTGAAAATGCGGTCAAATTGAGCCGCACAACACGTACCCCAGAATGGAAGGGCATACCTGAGGTGCGACTCAAAAAGTGCATAATAAACAGTTCTAGCCACTGACAAGTTAAGCTCCTTAGAAACAGACCTTAATGCAAAACAGGCAGAGCTCAATTTTTTCGACAAAGCTTCGATATGTATGTCCCATTTCAGAGAATTGTCCACAACAAGCCCTAAGAATTTTACGGATTTTACGACGTCAATGGTGGTGTTGTCAAGTACAAAAGGCTGCAACGAGTTTTTATACGACAAAGCCTTAGTTTTAGAAATGTTGAGACTCAGGAGGTTCGAATCGCACCAAGATTTAATGGTGATTAAGTCATTTGATATAATCCTATGAAGTGCCGCGATGTCCTTGTTGCTCCAAGTGAAGCTAGTGTCGTCCGCAAAAAGACATATTTTGCCACTGATGTTTATGTTAGCAATGTCGTTAATAAAAAGAAGAAACAAAATAGGGCCTAGTACTGAGCCTTGTGGTACTCCACATTCTATTGGCTTGCTAGAAGACAACGTGGTATCCACCCTCACAAGTTGATTCTGTTGCTCAGATACGACTTAAACCATTCGAGAGATGATCCCTGAACCCATAGTGCTGCAGTTTATTAATTAGGATCTTATGATTTACACAATCGAACGCCTTAGAAAAATCACAGAAAATTGTTGCTGTAGAATGATGGTTGTTTAGGCTGGAGTAAACTTTATTAAGGAGGGAAAACATAGCGTCATTTGTGGACTTGTTGCTTAGAAATCCAAATTGATATTCAGTAAGTATTTTGTACTTAAACAGAAAAGATACCAGCCTGCTTTTAACCAACCTTTCTATGATCTTAGATAGCGTTGGAAGGAGTGCAATTGGGCGATAGTTAGAAGCTTCATCTTTGTCTCCTCCTTTTGTGCAGTGGAATGATTATTGCCGTCTTAAGACATTTTGGAAAAATACCATTTTGGAACGACATGTTTATTAAAGTTGTTAGGTGATTCAGAGTGCTTTCTGGCAGATTCGAAAACATTTTTAAAGTTAGCCCGTCGGTCCCAGGAGAGGATTTATTTTTGATGGTATTAATTGTACTGCGAAGCTCTTCAAGAACTACGGGCGAAAAAAAGAAACTGTGTAAGTTTACTACAAAGTTTATTATGAACATAAAGATTATTTAAGAAAGGGAGATTTTCACAAATCTAAGATTTGTCTGCATTTATGGGAGACAAGGCACAAAATAAATGTTAATAACGCCAAAATTATAATGAAAGAAGCGATACTTTAAAAGAAAAATAAAAGAGGCTTTTTTATTACAATCTAATAAAAATAAATGTATTGCTTCATGCATCTATAAATGTTAGTAATGTATGTCAATCGCTTCTTTGATTTTAAAGAACATAACATACGTAAAAATTAAAAATAATCATACAGAAAGTTTGGGGCTTTTTGGTTTTACCTTATTAAGTAATTGTTATCAGGTAGTAATTGTTAATTTTGAAGTTTAACTTGATATAACAAAACGTCAACGGTTTTTTGTAGACGTACCTGTTTTAAAAAACTAAAGTGTCCTCGAATAGTTGAATTTAAATAGTTTTTTTTAAGAGAGACTATAGAGTGATATTTTATGGGTTTTATGTACTTTTTCGAAAGTTTAGCAGGGTTGTGAACGAAAAAACTGAAGAGTGGTGGACTAGAAACACTATTTTGGAGTTTGTGGACGTTGTGCAATAAAGTTGAGAAGTTATGGATGTGTGTACGAGAGGTAAAGAGTGTTTGGAGGGTCTGGAAGAGAGAGAAATGAAGGTAGGACATATATTTTGTTAAAAACTGTTTAATATTTAATCATAATACCTCAAAGTTTCTTTATTCTTTAACCTCTTTCAGTGTGAAGTATACCAAATAGATTAATAGCCGTAAAAAACTCATCGCAACTTTATTATTAAGTGCTGTTGAGAAGGTGAGTTTTTTTGATGTAAATAATAACAGTTTATATATTTATAATTAATTTATTTTTGTTTCCGTTAAACGTTTTAAAACACCATTACTTATTTTAAAGTTGTTTAAACATTTTTGTTTAAAACTGTTTTAAAAAGGTATTGCTCTGTTTTATATATATGTTTGGTTGTCTTTTTTCAGTAAAAAAATAAAGAAACTCTTCCTTTATTATTTAACTATTTAATAAATAAACAACTCAAACTAATAATAACAAAACCTACGCACCTCTCAATCAAAAATTGTCTAGAAAAAAATCTTCGAACAAAACATTTTCTTTTTAATAGACTACTTCAAAAAGTAACGGTTTCTGGCATTCGTTTTTTTAAAAATTCCAACACACAGCAATTTAGTTCCTCAGTTTATTCGCTATTTTGCCAAAAACAACTACCGTATCTGTACGGTTCTTCCCCCAAATTCACGCGAACCGTTTTAGTGTATCGAACCCGATTTTTACCTCGAATTCCCTGTTCCCGAATTCGAGGCACGTCCCAGCGCCCTGGTCCATTGTTGCCAATTGTCCGCCACCCCTATCTACTACCCCTGTGACGTGTTTAATCCCCCCTCCACTACTTGCAGCTCCAGGATCTCTGGGGGTATGTGTCGAGCTCGTCTATCGAGCCTCTGTTGATTGACTGATGTAGTAATCACCTATCTATACATATTTAGTCTTTTTTTCCTGTTTTGGTAGTATTATTTTAGCGACCATCAACCTATCTGCAAGACCAAGACCAAAAGAGTCTTGGTTTTGCATTTCCTCATCTCTAAAAATTATTAGCTTTAAAACTAAACTGCACTTGTATATACTCTATTTTCTTTAAGTACCCAACTAAGAATTTTGTTATATCCTCTTGACTTCCAATTCACCATACTTATCATTAATCTCATAATATTTCTTCACAATAAACCGTATATAGCAAACCAGAGTCGCGTCCAAAACGACAGAGACTCACCCCCCGGCGACAGAGACATCAAACCGCCTAGCACGCCCTCTAAAAATCTTTACAAACCGAATTATACGAAAAAGCAAACAAAAACAATCGGAATCCCAGTCCTTCTGGGCTCCACTAGGCGTGGCCTCCACTGAACTCCTCCCACCGGTCTCTAGACCTCGACCAATCACAGACCTGAGCCGCTCAAGGCTATCAGGGACGTCGCATAGCTTGTTCGAGCCAGTTGTATACCAGAAGCAACGACGTGTTGGTGGTCAGATGCGTGCAGGAAGGGTATATGATGGGGCGTTGTCGCTAAAGAGCTGTATTCGCGAGTTTTTTTAAAGAGTGATATTTTATGGGTTTTATGTACTTTTTCGAAGGTTTAGTAGGGTTGTGATCGAAAAAACTGAAGAGTGGTGGACCAGAAACATTTTTTTGGAGTTTGTGGACTTTGTGCAATAAAGTTGAGGGAGTTATGGATGTGTGTACGAGAGGTAAAGAGTGTTTGGAGGGTCTAGAAGACAGAGAAATGAAGGTAGGACATATTTTTTTGTTAGAAAATGTTTAATATTTAATCATAATAACTTAGCGTTTTAATCATCTGCTGATGATGCCAATATAATTAGCGAAAGTCGGGTAAAGTGTTGAAAAAAAAAGTGTTTTGGTGGATTGTTGTGAATTAGTGTTTTATTTTGCTGTTTTAACACCAAAGGTTCCAACCCTCAACTGTAATATAAAGAAAATTAATTATTTTTTATCTCTTGGATCTATTATATCTAACTGGAAATAGGCAAGTTTCACACTAATTTTTAATACTTACTTACTCAAAGACTGGTGTTTCTTGGTTGTTATTATTCTTGTTGAAATAATAAGATTATTTCCTCAAAAAGCTGGATGAGTATTAAAAGATTTGATTAAATTAATTATACCTAGGTTTAATTTTTTATAGTTTCCTCTGTTTGTCAAGAATGTGATGACTTTATATAGGATTAAATTAGACCAGCACCATTCTAATAGAATCTTAAGTACCCTTAACGAAAGGTATTTTATACCTCTTCAATTAAGTATCATAACTAAAGAGTGTATTATTGCATAGTTGTTAGAGACATCAACAGGCGCATGGAAAACGAACCTTCATATATAATGGGAAAATTATTTCTTGTAGTTTATTATACATTACGGAAGAAATTATAAGCAGCTGTATTGTACCCATTCTTTAGTAGATCTTGTTTAATTTAAATTTTATTGCTCAGTGTAATATTAAATATAACAAAATTATATAAGGATTCTTGCCACTTAACTGCTTATATAGAAATTTAATTCTACGCTGTGTTTGTCATAATGTGGATCAACCTGCTCTCACTACCGGTTTCGGAGCCCTACTCCATCATCAGGTGAGCTTGGGCAGATCCACAAAATGACAACCACAGCGCAGAGATAGTTAATTCCGACTTGTCGAAAAGTGTCGGTTAGATATTAAGTCCCGAACGGGAGATAGCGGCCTGCGTGCAATGGTAGTACTTTCGTACCACCGGGGCGCAACTATCGATAGTAAAAGGACGGTAAAAGGTTTTTTTTCAGGCAAGCCAAATTATAAAATAGAAAACAAATTTCTTGCAGTATAGGTATATAATAAAATTATATAAGGATTCTTGCCACTTAACTGCTTATATAGAAATTTAATAATAATTTTTTTTCTCTGCGCTGTGGTTGTTATTTTGTGGATCTGCCCAAGCTCACCTGATGATGGAGTAGGGCTCCTAAACCGGTAGTGAGAGCAGGTTGATCCACATTATGACAAACACAGCGTAGAATGAAATTTCTATATAAGGAGTTAAGTGGCAAGAATCCTTATATAATTTTATTATATGTCTATACTGCAAGAAATTTGTTTTCCATTAAATATAACTACAGCATGTATTTATTGTTGTCTTACTTTAATTAAAAATAAGGCCAAGTTAGGATTTTTCACAAAAAAATTAAGAAAGGTGAAACTTACAAATGTAAACAAAGAAAACTTCATGATTTTTTCAAGTGTATGATTTTTTATTTGTGAATTATGAATTGAATTATGAATTCCAGGAAGGGAAATAAACATTATACATGGTGTCCCAATATTCCGTGGATGTAGATCTACTAAGTACGTATTTTTTCAATGGAAATAAGTTCATTTATCACACAATTTACTTCTATACAAAAGTGCTTCGTTTACCTACTAACTTCGTTTACTACCCCCCCACCTCTACATAAATTTTAGCATAAATATTTTCCAACTAATTGACGACCAATTTTTTGTTCTAGTATTTACTCCTATTTTCTGTCTCTGGAGAGAAGGCAAATAAAATCTATTATGCCCTAATAATCTAGTTGGCGAAAATATGGACTTTTATTTTGGTATCACAAATTATATTTGACAATAACTTTCATAAAAAGCTTAAAAAAATAATTAACGTTTGGGTTTATTTTTGATTGATGCCCTCTAACAGATAAACGAAGCACTTTTGTATAGAGGTAAATTATGTGCAATTAACTTATTTCGATTGAAAAAATACATACTTAGTAGATCTATGTCCACGGAATATTGGGACACCATGTATACACACAACCAAACTTATATTATGGAATCCAAAATATTGCCATACCGAAATTTTGTTGAAAAAATTCATTATTTAATTGAAAATAAGTAGTTTTAACACAAAGTGTCAACAATTCCAAAATACCATCTATGTTTAATTTTGTTCTATCCATCTAACAAAGGAATAATATACAGGGTGTTCCATTTAAAAAAAATAATCCCGATCCACTCATACTTTTTTTAACCACCCTGTAGAAGTTAAAATATTTTCCTGAAATACATCCTAAAAGCTACTTTACGTTGGCACTTATACAAAATTCCTAAGTTTTTTTATTAGAGGAGCTACAGATACCCGACGCACTGTTGGAAACGTAGAAAAAACTTTGAACCGTGGCAACCCCTATTTGCGGCAAGTATTTGATAGACACTTTGTGAAAAGTGTATTCCCCTATTCATAAATATACGTAAAAATTAGGTCTTGATTAAAGTACGATGAGCGTAACAATCATGCAGCCAGATCTTGGAGTTTAAATCCTCCTTAAATTAAGGTAAATCGGGAAATCTCATATGAATCGGTATTATTACATTATAGCTTTGTAACAATATCTAAATACTAGTCGTTTTCCAATAAAACAATGAGAGGACAAAAGAAATCATTTAGAAATATGAAATACAAGTCGATAGATCAATTACAACGAAACACCACCGAAAATTCTGGCGACAAGCGGCTACATAAATCCGCCGCCTCGCACCCCTCACATATACCTCGTTCATAAATCACCGGAGGCCACAAAGACCCCTTTGTAAGAACAAAGTAATATATACGAATTTAAGAAATATAATGTTCGGTAAAGAAGATAAAATAAGACGGGGCCCGGGTGTGAAGCCGCGGCCCGTGATAAATTAGCTACGAAATTCCGATCTCGGTTTCGGCCCCATTGTTCGGGAGCCCCTCATCACTCCCTCGCGCTCGGGATTTAAAAGTATCTCTGCTTTTTCTGTCTCTGTCCGTGTCGTGAGGAGGCAGAGGCGAAAAAAGGCGTTAGAGTGAGTTATGGAGCATGGAAATCGGCCACTCGGGCTAAACGGGATAAATCAATTCACCGGTTGGGATTGTCAACGAGTGGGTTTGTTTTTTTTTCTTCTTTTTTTCCGGCAAATTGTGGTTGCTAATATGAAGTCCGAGCCTTGTACACAGAAAAAAAGCAATAAGGTATTTTAAACAATAGCCTTATTACTGAGAGCAAACCCATTCATACAAACATAGTGCAGCTAGCAGAACTATTATAGGCTTGGTGTTGGTGCATTCTCCGCCGGTGCTGCCACTATCGGAGAATATCGTAAACAACTGATATATACAAATACATGGGTTTAAATAGCGAGTATACGGAAAATGTATTATATAATTTTTCTAAAAGTGTTAGGAAGTATAATTTGTGAAAATTCGAAAAATAAAAATAAAAAAATAAATATTTTGATATCTTTAGAAAAGTATACCATTAATATTGCGAATTAGATATCGCTCGATTATATTATACTATACTAGCGTGTACCCGCGACTTCGTTCGCGTCGAATTAATCATTTGCAATGGTGATGATAAAGCAAAGCAAGAATTTCCATTAACATACAAACTGGAATCGTCCAAATGTAGCATGCATCCGTTTGTTAAAAATAAGCTTTTTACGTCAAGCAGTTTAAATAGAATCGTGGTTAATAAATTGCCCAACTTTTTGGAATACCCTGTATGATTTTTTTTAAATTTCAAAATATGTAAAAAAAACAAAATAAATTATACGTGTCCAAGCGTTTTCCCGAAAGACTAACCGTTTTTTAAATAACAAATATTGTAATATTTGAGGGGCGTTTTCACCCCCTTGGAATTTGAGATTCGAGAAACCCCTCCTTATCGAACCTCTACACCCCGTTTGCCAAAAATCAGCTTTAAACGTCAAGTAGTTTAAGCAGAATCGTGATTACTCAATGGTCATATTTTATGAAACACCCTGTATACATTTTTAAAAAAATCTTAAAATATGTAAAACAACAAAATAAAATATACGCGTTTAAGAGTTTTTCCGAAAAACTCACCGGTTTTTAAATAAAAAATGTTCTAATATTTGAAAGGTGGTTTCACTCCCTTAGAATTCGAGTTTCGAAAAATCCCTTTTTATCGAACCTCCGCACCCTAAAGTCAATCCGTTTTCCAAAAATCAGCTTTTTACGTCAAGCGTTTTAAGCAAGATCGTGATTAATCAATGGCCAGATTTTTTGAAACACCCTGTAAACATTTTTAAAAAATCTTAAAATATGTAAAAAACAAAATAAAATATACGTGTTTAAGCGTTTTTTCGGAAACTTTACCGTTTTTTAAATAAAAAATGTCGAGGAAGTGGTAAAGTAGTGTATCTTTTTGGCGTAATGATAGTATCTTTGTAGATACGATAGTATTTTCTCTGTGTAGTTGTATTAAAAATAGTAATTTTTTCTATTAAAAAATATGTCGATTTCACCAATAACAAAACTTGTAAATTTTAAAGATAATGGAAAACGAATAAAATCACATGAATAACTTGAAATAATCTGATAACTATATCAGTGATTGTTGATTGCTCCGTACGTCTAGTAACGACAAATCTTTTAAATATTTCTAATTAAAAGTGATTTTATGCTTTTATTAATTGGGTAATTTATATCATTCCACGCAAAAAAGTTTATTAACATATGCTTCGAGAAAACCGTTATAGACAATCAATTAAAAACTTGTCCGCGGCTATTTTTTATACCGAAAAAAAAAGGAGAATCCCATGAAGATATATATCATCGAAATTCTCGCGACATATAGCTCTAACTGGCTCTATAAATCTTAGAAACCGACCTGTTCGAAACCCGAAAGCCATATATAATAGTCGTAAATCATTTGGATTAACAATAAACGCCCGAAGAACAAAGTAATTTAGTG